ATCATTCTATCTCATAATCATACCTCTGCCTCACATCATGATTGCAAATCATTGCTGAGTTTCAGATCTACTAATTTTTTATTTTACAACTGAACTTAATTAATAAATTAAATAATTTTTTAAAATATTAGTTTGTCCTTCTTTTTTGGGACTTGGAGTGCAGACTGTAGAATTCGCTGAGGTTGTCTTTCAGCTTGCTTTGTCTTCCATTTCATTGCCAGACTTGAAGGTGAGACCAGAACAGCAATTGGGCAGGTGTATCTCTTGTTTTTTTGTTACTTTTGATTTCTTCTGTTTCTGGGTTGTTTGTAAAAGTGTCTTTAAAATGAAATTGATGGGATTCCTACCTTTTATTACATTTTCTGATGCATATGCATGTACTCAAAAAATATAGCCAAATTCCCTATACATGCTCTTAGCCAAAAATAAGTTTATCATAGTGACTACAAAGGTCAGGACTTTTCAAACTTGGTATTATTATGTCATAAAAACAGTAGTTAATTTAATGGTAGCACTGTTATTGCAATGTCTTTAACTTAATTGTCTAATTTTCAAAAGATGATTCCATGTCCAGAAATTGCAATGGGACTTCCGGTCGCGTTAATTTAATGATATTCATTGGAATTACCATAGCAACGGCAGTTCAGCAATGGTAGATTGATAGGAAGCTTCACTGCAAAGCTTTCTAACATCTTTCTGGTACATGGATGGGACTTCACTAGATACTTGAGGCTTCTAGAATGCTACTAAATGCAATTGGTTATGGTAGTTTTCTCGTATTCTTTTGTTAAAGTGGCAAGCGTGGTGCATGACTCTTCTCAACAAACGGCCGTCTTGTTATTACTTCAAAAAGATCTAGAGATACTATTTGCTTGTATATATAAGATGCTAAGCACTCTTTCTTTCACTTTATTATTCCTAAGAGAAGAGGAAAGCACTTTTTGACTCTTGCTGCTACAACCATCATCATTAAAATGGCTAAAATTACTTCACCTTCAGGAGACAAATGTTCCAAACAAAGTTTTGAATCTCTTTATCTTTTTTGCATCATTGGGTAGTAAGAATTTTGTACTTTCACAAAATAAGTGCGCAAATTGTCAAAATTGTTTGAAATTTAGATATAACCATTCAAAAAGTAAAAAATTATCATGCATACATTAAGGAATGACATTAATGGCGGCACTGACTGCCTCATATTCAATTGGTAAATGTTCCACACAAAGTTACTCCAAATGCTGTAATATTTAGCAGGAACACAGGTAGATGGATGAAGAACAGCTATTGAAGTGCGCAAATTGATGATTCTTATTATAAAGAAAGATATAGCTTAGTAAATGGAAATGTCCATTCCTGCCCTGTATAAAGTCAATCCGTGGTATACGGAGATAGTTGCTCAGTATACTACTCTGTGTCCACTCATTTCTGGACATGCTTTCTGTTTCAAACATTATCAAAAGTTTCTGGTTTATTAACTCTTCAGGACTTCTTTGTTTGATCCTATTTACTTAAATTGTCAACTATACTATGTCCCAACTGAGAATGGACCGGAAGTGGAAGCAGCTGCATTGGAATTTGAAAAATGTATCTACGTCACTAATGACGTTTTATAATGATATTGATAGAGACATGGCCAATACTTCGGCTGTGTTGTTTTACTCTTAAAACAGTCTTGCTGTTACTGATAAGCAGCACAATAGCTCCTGGAGTCAACTAGTCTTCATAAAGGCCATAATCATCAGAAGATCACACTCTGTTAGCTTTCTAAAAGAAGAATTATCAGTTTGGGCGTGCTCGACTACATGTGCTTATGTAAACTATGACATCATAAACATCATTGCGGTTAGCTTTGGTATGCCATTGGGTTTATAGGGAGAACCCGGTTCTCAGGGTTCCCAAGGGTTGAGAGACCCAAGATCTGAGATCCTGAAGCAGCATTGGGCGACTAAGAACCTGTGAAAGTTTTATCCTTATCCCACATTCCTATAAAAAGTTATTCCAGTTTTTTTTGGTCCAAACTCAGTTGTGACATAGTATAGTGCTTCCACTTTTCCTTTCTTAGTCCCTATGCATGAAACAAGATAACAAGTATGGACCTTTCTAATTTTACTTTTAAGACAATCTGTGAAGTTAATAACTAAGGGTGGGACGAATCCATGCTTTGCTCATTTGAACATTCTACGACAAAAAATTTGAATGCTTCGAAGCTTCGCGATAAACCACACCCATATTATTAATAATTGTCATGTTTACATAGATGTCTGGAATGTGGTTTCTCATATTGTAATTGTGGCTTCACACCAATATTCATGCATTAAATGTATTTTTAAAACAATATTTAATATCAAAACACTAGAATAAGTCCATGTTTTTATTCAAAAAAATAATAGCATTAACATTCTTTGGTTTTAAGCAGCTTCTCTTCTGAGTGACAGTGTTACCTGCAGTTGAAAATACTCACTCAGAAGGGGTAGATGTAGCAGGTATATTTAGGTAACATTGAGCTACTTTACTAACTAAAGGAAATCTGCTATGGTTATCCTTCCACCATAAATTAGGTGATGTAGAACGAGGAGGTTCAATCTCTGCCAGAAAACTGTCAAACTCTTCTCTTGGAGTAAAACCATTCTTTTCCACTTCTGGTCCAAGTAAATAATCAAGTGCCTTGACCTTCTTTCGTTTAGCTGCAATCACTTCAGCCTCTTGTGTTCCATCCTCTTCAACTTCAATGGTTACTGGGTGACTTTCAGTCTCTTCAGTATCTTGCTCCTTAAATCTTTCCATTTCTTTGATAATCTCTTCCTTGACC